GTCCCTGTTCTTCCTCTCACGGCTTCCTCCGGAGACAATCTAGTGAACATGCAGGTGAAGAAGCCTCTCCAAGCGCTGAGCAGACACTGATTCTGTAATAGAGCCAGTCAAGGGGTCACAAAGCTATTTCCCAGCATGTACCAGCCTCAGGTAGAACCTGCCAGTTTCCGCATTTCCTGAGCTAGTCGGGCAGGCCCGGAGTTACAACGGGCTTTAAAAATACGTCATTGGTGTGGTGCTGAAGTTTGTAAAGTCACATCCTTAGAGCATAGAATCCTAGAATCCCAGGGCGGGCAGAGACCTTAGGAGTCGATGAGTCCATCCCCCTGCCCAAAGCAGGACCAACCCAACTCAATCATCCCAGCCAGGGCTTTGTCAAGCCAGGACTTAAACACCTCTAGGGATGGAGATTCCACCCCGTCCCTGGGTAACCCATCCCAGCGCTTCCCCACCCGCCTAGGGAAATAGTTTGTCCTAATATCCAACCTAGTTCTCCCCCACTGTAAATTGAGCCCATTGCTCCTCATTCTGCCATCTGCCCCCACTGAGAACAACCTCTTTCCATCCTCTTTGGAACCTCCCTTCAGGAAGTTGAAGGCTGCTCTCAAATCCCCCCTCACTCTTCTCTTCTGCAGAGTAAACAATCCCAAATCCCTCAGCCTCTCCTCATAGGTCATGTGCTCTAGCCCCCAAATTGCCCTCTTCCGGACCCTCTCCAACATCCTTTCTAAAGTGAGGGGCCAAGAACTGGACACAACACTCCAGATGTGGCCTCCCCAGAGCTGAATAAAGGGGAAGAATCACTTCTCTAGATCTGCTGGCAATGCTCCTCCTAATACACCCCAATATGCCATTAGCATTCTTGGCTACAAGGGCACCTTGTGGACTCAAATCCAGCTTCTCATCCACTGTAATCACCAGGTTCTTTTCTGTAGAACTGCTACTTAGGCATTCCAACCCCAGCCTGTAGCAATGCTTGGGATTCTTCCGTCCCCAGGGCAGGACTCTGCACTTGTCCTTGTTGAACCTCATCAGATTTCTTTTGGCTCAATCCTCTAATCTGTCCAGGTCACTCTGGACTCTATCACCCCGGTCACTTTGGACTCTTCACCCTCCAGCATATCTACCTCTCCCCCTAGCTTAGTGTCATCTGAAAACTTGCTGAGGGTGCAATCCATCCCCTCATCCCAGTTATTAATAAAGATGTTGAACAAAACCAGTCCTAGAACAGATCCTGGGGGCACTCCGCTAGAAACTGACCGCCAACCGGACATCAAGCTGCTGATCACTACCCATTGGACCCAACAGTCTACCCAGCTTCCATACACCTTCCAGTCCATTTATCTAATTTGTACTTCCGTAACTTGCTGGCAAGCATCATCCCCTTTCTCCCAGGCTGCAGTTGAGCATAGGGGCACCAGCTTAATAGTGCTGCCTAGGGCCCCATCCATCCCAAGGACGATACCGGGCACAGGAGCCAGAAGAGTCAGCCCCCAGCATTGTCTGTGGTCTGTGGTGTCTCTATCTCACCAGCACCTCACCTCAACTCAGCCAGCTGGGGATGGGTGACAAGAGAAGAGCGAGGCTAAGTAGATAATATGCAATAGAGCTAGAAGGTGTTGTAGAGGGGGGTGCATGCATGGGGATAGATAGATAGATAGATAGATAGATAGATAGATAGATAGATAGATAGATAGATAGATAGATAGATAGATAGATAGATAGATAGATAGATAGATAGATAGATAGATAGATAGATAGATAGATAGATAGATAGATAGATAGATAGATAGATAGATAGATAGATAGATAGATAGATAGATAGATAGATAGATAGATAGATAGATAGATAGATAGATAGATAGATAGATAGATAGATAGATAGATAGATAGATAGATAGATAGATAGATAGATAGATAGATAGATAGATAGATAGATAGATAGATAGATAGATAGATAGATAGATAGATAGATAGATAGATAGATAGATAGATAGATAGATAGATAGATAGATAGATAGATAGATAGATAGATAGATAGATAGATAGATAGATAGATAGATAGATAGATAGATAGATAGATAGATAGATAGATAGATAGATAGATAGATAGATAGATAGATAGATAGATAGATAGATAGATAGATAGATAGATAGATAGATAGATAGATAGATAGATAGATAGATAGATAGATAGATAGATAGATAGATAGATAGATAGATAGATAGATAGATAGATAGATAGATAGATAGATAGATAGATAGATAGATAGATAGATAGATAGATAGATAGATAGATAGATAGATAGATAGATAGATAGATAGATAGATAGATAGATAGATAGATAGATAGATAGATAGATAGATAGATAGATAGATAGATAGATAGATAGATAGATAGATAGATAGATAGATAGATAGATAGATAGATAGATAGATAGATAGATAGATAGATAGATAGATAGATAGATAGATAGATAGATAGATAGATAGATAGATAGATAGATAGATAGATAGATAGATAGATAGATAGATAGATAGATAGATAGATAGATAGATAGATAGATAGATAGATAGATAGATAGATAGATAGATAGATAGATAGATAGATAGATAGATAGATAGATAGATAGATAGATAGATAGATAGATAGATAGATAGATAGATAGATAGATAGATAGATAGATAGATAGATAGATAGATAGATAGATAGATAGATAGATAGATAGATAGATAGATAGATAGATAGATAGATAGATAGATAGATAGATAGATAGATAGATAGATAGATAGATAGATAGATAGATAGATAGATAGATAGATAGATAGATAGATAGATAGATAGATAGATAGATAGATAGATAGATAGATAGATAGATAGATAGATAGATAGATAGATAGATAGATAGATAGATAGATAGATAGATAGATAGATAGATAGATAGATAGATAGATAGATAGATAGATAGATAGATAGATAGATAGATCGATAGATCGATAGATAGATAGATGTGTAGGGGGCTGGAGCACTAAATCACTGTGTAATTTCTCTCTCTCTTGATTGGAGCAGAGAGGGAACCAGACATTCTGCCTACCCCACAGCAGGACCCTGCTCACAGCAGCTGTGAGAGGCAAGGAACGGAGGGTTAAGTCCTCAGCTGTGGATTTAAGACCCAAGCGGGAAAGTCCTGCTCTGCCCAGGGTTCCGGTGCGGGTGGGAGCAGTTCCCTGCCCAGCAATCCCCTCCCTGGGGTGATGTTGTGAGGAGAGACCCCATTACACCTCGGAGCTGCTCAGATGCCCGAGTGCTGGACTCGGGGTGTGGCGGGCCCAGAGGGGAGGCCCAGTTGCTGGTGCTGGCTTGTGAGCAGGGCGGGTGGGCAGGACAGGAGGGATGTGGGGAACTAGGAGATGTCTAGACTACAATGATTTATTGAAAAAGGTATGCAAATTGTGCTCTGCAATTTATGTACCTTTTTCCAATAGTTTTTTCAGAAGAGGCTTTTCCAAAATTCGGCCCGTCTGCCCCGGGACAAATTTCAGAAAAACCTCGTCTTTTGGAAGAGCTCCTTCCAAAAGAGCACGTCTGCTCTTCCACACACAAAAAAGCGGAAGAGCAGACTTGTTCCCTGGATGCAGCAGAGTTTTTCCAGAATACTTCTGGTATCTGGGAAAAATCCCATAGTGTAGACATAGCCTAGCTTGGCAGCAGGGCCTGGCAGGCATGACAGGATGCATGCTGGTGCTGGGGGTGGGTGAGCAGGGTGGGGGATGGGACAGGGGGGTGCTAGGGGAGGGCTGGTTAGGACAGATGTCTGGGGCCAGTGGCAGGTGGGACAGAACAGATGCTGCTGCTGGGGATGGGTGAACGGAGTGGGTAGGTGGGACAGGGTGGATGCTGGTGCTGGAGGTGGGGTAGATGGGTGGGACAGGGCAGATGCTGGCACTGGGGACGGGTGAACGGGGCAGGTGGGTGAGACAGGATGGATGCTGGCACTGGGGACGGGTGAGTGGGGCAGGCGGGTGGGACAGGACGGATGCTGGCACTGGGGACGGGTGAGTGGGGCAGGCGGGTGGGACAGGACGGATGCTGGCACTGGGGACGGGTGAGTGGGGCAGGCGGGTGGGACAGGACGGATGCTGGCACTGGGGACGGGTGAGTGGGGCAGGCGGGTGGGACAGGACGGATGCTGGCACTGGGGACGGGTGAGTGGGGCAGGCGGGTGGGACAGGACGGATGCTGGCACTGGGGACGGGTGAGTGGGGCAGGCGGGTGGGACAGGACGGATGCTGGCACTGGGGACGGGTGAGTGGGGCAGGCGGGTGGGACAGGACGGATGCTGGCACTGGGGACGGGTGAGTGGGGCAGGCGGGTGGGACAGGACGGATGCTGGCACTGGGGACGGGTGAGTGGGGCAGGCGGGTGGGACAGGACGGATGCTGGCACTGGGGACGGGTGAGTGGGGCAGGCGGGTGGGACAGGACGGATGCTGGCACTGGGGACGGGTGAGTGGGGCAGGCGGGTGGGACAGGACGGATGCTGGCACTGGGGACGGGTGAGTGGGGCAGGCGGGTGGGACAGGACGGATGCTGGCACTGGGGACGGGTGAGTGGGGCAGGCGGGTGGGACAGGACGGATGCTGGCACTGGGGACGGGTGAGTGGGGCAGGCGGGTGGGACAGGACGGATGCTGGCACTGGGGACGGGTGAGTGGGGCAGGCGGGTGGGACAGGACGGATGCTGGCACTGGGGACGGGTGAGTGGGGCAGGCGGGTGGGACAGGATGGATGCTGGCACTGGGGACGGGTGAACGGGGCAGGTGGGTGGGACAGGACGGATGCTGGCACTGGGGATGGGTGAGTGGGGCAGGCGGGTGGGACAGGACGGATGCTGGGCGCGGGTGAGTGTCCGTGCACAAAAGAGACACTAGTGGGGACACTTTGGCCCTTGCACTATGGCTCTTTGACTCTGGCTTTGCTCGTTCTCCGCAGGGGTGGCCAATGGAGCCGGGCAACCAAACACCGGTGACAGAATTCGTGCTGGAGGGGCTCCCCAACACCAGGCAGTTTCCGTCTCTCTTCTTCCTGCTCTTCGTCCTGCTCTACCTGCTCACCCTGCTGGGCAACGCGCTGACCCTGCTGACGGTGCTGAGCAATGCCCGGCTCCACGCCCTGCCCATGTACTGCTTCCTCGGCCACCTCTCCATGCTGGACGCCTGCCTCTCCTCCCTCAATTCGTGCTGGAGGGGCTCCCCAACACCAGGCAGTTTCCGTCTCTCTTCTTCCTGCTCTTCGTCCTGCTCTACCTGCTCACCCTGCTGGGCAACGCGCTGACCCTGCTGACGGTGCTGAGCAATGCCCGGCTCCACGCCCTGCCCATGTACTGCTTCCTCGGCCACCTCTCCATGCTGGACGCCTGCCTCTCCTCCCTCACCGTGCCCAAGCTCCTGGCGGGACTGCGGGGGACGGGTGGTCCGGGCGTCTCTTCTG